CAAAGACAAGGCTGGGTGACATGGGAAACAGAACAAACAGGATCAAGAAGGAACCTCAAAGAAATGATTCCATCTTCACACATGCTCATTGAATTCTAAACACAGAAATGCATATTGCTTTAATTTTAGTTGTCTTTTTTTTTTTTTTTTTTTTGGTTTTTCGAGACAGGGTTTCTCTGTGTAGCTTTGCGCCTTTCCTGGAACTCACTTGGTAGCCCAGGCTGGCCTCGAACTCACAAAGATCCGCCTGCCTCTGCCTCCCGAGTGCTGGGATTAAAGGCGTGCGCCACCAACGCCCGGCTTAAGTTGTCTTTTTTAAGGCTATATTTTCTAACTTATTCTTGATTTGAAACAAAATGTAGAAAATCACATTGTAGGTATAAATAAAGTATTTAACATAAGATGTAGCCAGTATTATTTTAAAAATCTTTTCATTTAACTTTTAAATATAAATAATTTAGGAGCTGGAGAGGTAGTCCAGTGGTTAAGAGCACTTGTTGCTCTGGCAGAGGACCTTGGTTCATGTCCCAGAATCTACATGGTGGCTCATAACTGACTGTAACTCCAATGCCAAGGAACGTAATGTCCTTTTCTGGCCTCCCTGGGCACCAGGCAAGCATGTAGTACTCATACATACATGTAGGAGAAACACAAAGTTCAAAATAAATACATTAAAAAATATCAGTAACTTAAAAGCTACAAACTTATCAGAATCAACTTGCCATTCTGAAAAGCTAGAGAACACCAGGATGGTGGTACACACACACCTGCAATCACAGCATTCGTGAGGCAGAGGCAGGAGGACTGCAAGCCCAAACCGGCCTGGATTACCTACTGGAAACTGTCTTCAGCACACACAACAAAACCAATCCTACCTACCTATCTAATCCAGAGGGAAGAAAATACTATTTTTCCATGAATACTAAATTTTTCTCGAGTGTTAAGTTTATATAATACCTCAAATTTCAAAAATATCATAGAAAACTAAAAAGATCACACTTAAGAATTGTATTCCAAGGAAAATGTCAAGTAGTAACTTAGACAAAATAATCGACATACCACAGCCTTTTTGGTTTTTTGTCTGATTGGTTTTAATCTGTGAGCAATCAAAGGAGATGTAATGCTTCGTAAGGTAGGTTTCTGGTGGCCCATCATTGACTCCATACTCCTGTTCTTGCTTTGTTCAGAACGAGGATGTAAGCCCAGTTCTTGGTGCGTGACCTCAGGCTTACTATGATGTGCAGTCATATACTTTGTTGTACTCAGCTGCTTTACAGGATGAACGTTAGCAGAAGTATCAACATTCTTGCTGGCTCTTGTATCAGTCCAAGCATTTCTTAACACATCCCATGAATCTGGATAGCTCTGGAAATCTCTGTTTGGGCTAGTGGTGCTGTGTTCATTAGTTTCTCCTAAATGAGCTAAAACATACATTAAAAAAGCTTAGTAAAATGTAGCATAATATGTTGATTATAATAGCAGGGGCTTTTTTTGGAGGGGGCGCATATTTGAAGACAGGGTCTTTCTATGTATCCCTGATTGTCCTAGAACTTACTATGTAGACCAGGCTGACCTCAAATCAACAACAGATGGGCCTGCCTTGTTCTCCCAGGTGCTAGGATTAAAGGCATACTACACCACACCCTGACTCTAGCCCTTTTTAAACAATAGAAAAAGCCAGTTATAAACATTTGTGTATTGTATTGAGAAGTCTCTTTAAATCAGTAAATTGTAGCTGTTCTTTGCCAAAGGGGAAAATGTGTAATTACACTGAGATGACAGATATGCTAATTAATTCCACTGTAACTATTTTACTATTTACTGTATTCCTATTACTATTAACATTATTATATATCTTAAATATATGAAGATTTAAAAAATATAAGCTATTAAGAACTCTTAATAAATAAGGACAAAAAAATAGTTAAAGGAACATTTAAAGCCAGGTAGAAGAAACACTTTTAGTTTCTTATGACTATGAAAATGGACTAATATAAAATCAAGTTCTCTTTCTTTCCCCTTTTTTTTTTTTGGTTTTTCAAGACAGGGTTTCTCTATGTAGCCCAGGCTGTCCTTGAACTCAGAGATCTGCCTGCCTCAGCTTCTTGAGTGCTGAGATTAATGGCGAGTGCCACCACTGCCTGGGGAAATTAATTTTTCCGTCAAAGCAAAACCAAGTTACTCATTCTAAAGCAAGTCAATGTTCATCAGAAGGAATTCTGATAAGAATTCTACAGACAAAAAAATACATAAATTTTCTTTACTATGAAGATTATTTATCACATCTCTCCTTAGAAAATATGCAGCTAAAAGCAAAACACTGACTACCTTCAGTATCCCTAATAATATTACAAATGTATTTGTACCTATATATTTAAAAGCTCTTATTGAATCCTATACACTCATATTTCATATGGTTTCAGAGTTTACCTTTAAAAAACTGTTTCTGCGTGTGTATGTGTACCTTTGTGTATATCTGTGTGCTGTGGACATGCAGTGCCCGACTATCAGATCTCTTGGAACTGGAGTTACAAGTGGTTGTGAGGCACCTGCTGTGGGCACTGGGAACTGAAGTGGATCTTCTGGGAAGAACAGCAAGTATTCTTAACCACTGAGCCATCTCTCCAGCCCTTCAGGTTCACATTTTTAAAAGGGCCTTAAATAATTTAATTACATAAAACTCTCTATAGTAAATTATCTCCTTTTTTTCCTTTTTTTTTTTTTTTTTGAGACAGGGTCTCACTAATGCAGCCTAGCAGTCTTGAAGTCATGGTCCCTATGTTTCAGCCTCCCAAGTGGTATAAAGGCACAGGCCCATGTCCTGATGCTATTTTTTTAAGGCCTTAAATGATCAATTACATAGAACTCTAGTTTTTCAGTATTAAACTCTCAGAATTTTCATCACAATTTTATTTAAAATGACTTTGTAAAGTTTCTTGCCCTTGAATTCTCATTATAAGGAAAAATATTTTCTATTAAGTAAAAGACTTTAAAATTGGAGCAGAATGACTATATTATTTATAAAAAGGTTATTTCTCCATCTCAGAAAAGTCCATATTACCAAATAAAAATAACCTGTGCATAAGTACAAGACTGCAAAACTAATATACAAGGTAGTTTTGTAGTTTAAAAAACAAACCAACCAGTAAGTATATACGGTCAGATTAATTTCCTTTAGACTTCTGAAAACAAACATCTCTCGAAAAGGAAAAGATTCCCCTTGACAGGGCCTAACTCTGCTAATGAGAGCTCCTATCTCACACTACTCACAACACAATGATGAAAGACGATCTCCTCCAGATGCTGCCTTTTAATTCTCTTCCCACCCACCTTCTGTGAGTGTTGTTCATTAATGGGGGATACTTAATCTCCACAGTCTTGATAATGACCTAGGGCCAGCTGCTTAAATGTTTGGGTTTCAGTAGCTGTGTAGTTCAGTCTGAGGAACTATGGGCAAAATAAAATCCTCACATCGGCTTCTCACAAGTAAACTCAGGCATCCTTTGATTACTTCATGGGCAGTGATAACAAGTTTTTGACACAGACATCACCTGAACAGGCTTCAAGGTCCAGCCTGAGCCAGGACTACTTGAGAATCCTTGTTCTAATTAATCACAGAGCAGCAGTGCAAACTGAGTTGTGTACAATTTGTTCATGTATAAAGAGCTTTTTTCTTCATATTTGTAATGTAAACTTAAACTAATCATATACATTCAATATTAAGGAGAATAGATAGCTTAAATATTCAAAAATATTAAGTTTATTATTAGAATGTTTTATTGAAATTTACTGGAACTGTCTTCTTGAATATAAGCAGAAAAGTGCAATGTTTGGCAGGTTCCAGGTCAGTAAATTTTAATTAAATGCTCCATTAAAAACTCACCATTCATCTGCAGATTCCCAAACCACTGCTGTACCATTTCCATCGGAGGCGTCTGGTCTGCAAATGGAAAAGGAGTTTTTCCTAGACAATGATGACTGGAACTACAGAGGGGAAAAAAAATCCCATAAAGCAATTATTGGGGAAAGAGGTATTAGGAACAGAATCTAGGTGTGTACACACACACACACACACTCACACACAGAATATGTATGTGTTCTGTGACAGCAGAATTCCTAGTCCCTGAACATTTTAAGGCAGAAACCCTAGAAGAGATTTAAATAACTGAAATTTTAGAATAATCGCAGAAAACAGTATTTCTATAATCATCTCTAAAACTCCTATGCCAAAATGCAATAGCACTACATGTCTGCTATCCTCTTAGAAGTTTATAATTCAAACATTAAAAGATCACACACAAAATTCCCAATTGGGCACTAAAATCAGTGCTTGTATCAGAAGCAGTCAGTACTACAGCTATTCCTCATTCAGCCTCAGCTTCCCTCTACATGCAGCTACTTTTAGTCTTTCAGGGATCAAACTTGCTCAATAAATGCTATGCTGTGTCAGAGATCTGCTCCAAATAACACATCTACAAACTTAAACACAGTTATGAACACATACGCTTTTTTTTTTTTTTTTTTGCAGTGCTAAGGACTGACTTGTGGGCACTATGAATGTTAAGCCACTGTTCTCCCACTAAACTATATCTAACCAGCCTATACGCACTTAAGAGACCTTAATCAACATTAATAGCATAAAGGCCTTTTTTGCTTTGAAAAAGACTAGCCTAGAACCCACAGATTGGGTTCAGCTGCATGATCTTTCTGCCTGTGCCTCCCAAGTTCTAGGAGTGTAGACACAGGCCACCATGCCTGGCTCAAAACTGTAATTTTATTTCTGTGAGGGAAGCACCTAGGCATTTTATAACCCACCTTGTTTAGCTGTAGCTTTGTATCTGTGCTAATACAATGTTTATCAAAATGCTCTTGAAAGAATTATCCTTGCACTGCTTGGCCATCATCATGTCTTTCAAAAGACCTACAACTATTGGCTGTTTTGTCTTTAAGGAAGTTAAAAAAATTGATATTGTTGTGTGTGGGTAAATACCTCTCTTCATTTTCATCCAGGGATCTTCTGGGCTTTGAAAGCATTTCTACTGAATGACATCGTTCTATTGAGTTTGTTTTTGCTCGAGATTGATTAGAAGTGCTGGATCTATCAGAGGAATGAGCTCTGCGAAGGTATCGAGAATGCGGCCTTTCTTCTACGTCTTCAATTACTCTTCCCCGTCCCCTATTATTAGTTTCTTGGTCTGGGTTTCCCCATTGTGTACAAAAATTGCTTCCATCCCCTGAAGAAAAGTCACTTAAATTCTTATTTTTTGGAAATACAGTAATTTTATTTGGAAGTGACTGACCAATCAAAAGTCTTCTTCTGTCAAGTAAGCTACCACTCAAACTGGTACTGGAGGACGCTGTAATTGTTGTGGAAATTGTGGCATGCCCACTATCCATGGAGTCCTCTACAGTCCCTAAGTCTTTATTTTTTGTTGAAGGATTTCGTGACATAAAAGGATGGTCCAATACAGAAGACAGACTTAACCGATCTGCAGGATTCCTACGAAGTAACTGGTGGATAAGGTCCTGAGCCTCTCGTGACAAAAAGGTTGGCATTTCATAATCTGCCAAAACTACTTTATTCAATGTGTTCTTGACTGTATCAGTGTCAAAAGGTGGCCTTCCAATAAGTAATGTATAAAACATACAGCCCAACGACCAAATATCAGATTCAAGTCCATGTGCACTTCGAGTTGCAATTTCTGGTGAAATGTAATTAGGAGTTCCACAGAGTGTGTAATGCTTTTCATGTGGCATTTTCAACTGTGTTGCTAGTCCAAAGTCAGCAATTTTTATGTTCATATTACGTGTAAGTAATATGTTAGAGAGTGTGAGGTCCCGGTGTAATATGCCATGAGAATGAAGATACAACATTCCTGTGATGATCTGGTGCATGAATTGCCTAGCTGTGAAGATGGAAAAAGAGAAAACATAATTCAAAAGTTCTGGAAATTCCAATGTTTAGAATACATGATAACACCTAGTACACATGCCAGAGTATTACATTAAAATCCTAGCCTGCAGCTTAGATTGACCAACAAAAACATCACTCTAGTGATATAATGCTAACTAGGCACTCGTTTTAATCTTTGCTTTTTCCAACTTATGAGCTAAGGGAAGCCAAATTTTATACCAGCTCAAAGTGATTAGAGCAACTAGGGTATAACCAGATATCCACAAAATTAAGAAAATTATTTAAAATTGTACAAATAGTTCATAGATATCAGCTGCTAGGGAAAATCTTATTTTAATTCCTAAGTGCCAAGTATGATAAACAGGCTGCCACACCCACCCAAGCATGGACATGGGTACTGGGGACCACACCCCAGCTCTCTACTTGCATGGCAAGAACTTTACACAGTCTCCATTGTAAACAATATATTTCTTTCTTTCTTTTTTCTTTCCTTTTTCTTTGGTTGTTTTTCAAGACAGGGTTTCTCTGTGTAGCTTTGGAGCCTGTCCTGGATCGCATTTTGTAGACCAGCCTGTACTCGAACTCACAAACATTCACCTGGCTCTGCCTCCGGAGTGCTGGGATTAAAGGAGTACGCCACCACCATCCAGCTTAATATAGTTCTTAATACTTTCCTGCATGCTTGCATATATTTAAAGCTACAAACACATTATAATAAATGCTTTTAAGATATCAAAAAATGGTATGAGAGTAGTTTAATTAACTTTCCTTCTTTACTGTATATCTTAAAGTTATTTCTCTAATAATATCATATCTCTATTTTACCTTATTGCTGTTGAACATTTGTGTAATTTCTGATGTTTCAAGATTACAAATAATATAGGAATAAACATTCTTGTGCATGCATACTTTTTGTGTATGGTATGTGAGTTTCTCTGCAGTGTGGTATATATATTCTATATACTTATAGTACATATATATTCAGATATGAAAATTGATTAGTTTCATGCCTTGGCAAGTTAGCCTTTAAAAGGCTGTATTTTCATACACACTCTATTAACATCACACAGTCTCAATTCAGTGTGTGAAAATGGTCTTTCATTATTTTGGCCTCATGATTACTATCGACTCTGTGTATCTTTTCATGTTTATTGGTTATTTGAGCTTTTTCCTCTGTGAATAGTTTGCTCATACCCTCTAGTTTCTTATGATTATCCTTTCCCTGTTAGGCATATCTTTCATTTTTCAACATGAACTTTTTGTTATATACACACTGCACACACACAGGTTTGTCAGTAGAAAACAAGGAACCTAGGGCCTTGTGCATGCAGATCGAATAAACACGCTACCACTGAATTGCAGCCCCAACCTTATCAGGCATACAGTTTGCAGGTATTTTCTTTCCTTCTTTGTCTTAAACTTCGTTGGTGGGAGGGAGATATATCTTTGGTTGCATGTAAATTTTTAAGTTTAATTCAGGCTAACAGATACTTTTTTCCCTTATAAATATCGTCTTACTCAATAAATCCTTTATTGACAATTACAAAGTAGTCTGAAAAATACAGAAACTACCATCTAAATATATGGACCCTCTCCCATTTATATTATTTCCTAAGAATAAACTCTTATCAATGGAATTTGAGAGAAAGCTTATCAACACTTCAGTTTGTGTTAACAACTATTTCCAAGAGATTAAAATGTATAAAAGCTCCATTAAGCCAGTGTGATGATTCAGCACGTAAAGCAGCTTGCAACCAAGTTTGATGAACTGAGTTTTATATCTGGAATCCACATGACACAAGGAGAGAGCCAACTCCCTAGATTGATCTCTGACTATACCACCACACACAAATGAATAACTACTAAAAACAAAAGCAAAAGCCTATCAGCAGCCTTATTCCTTAGCTCTATCTGCAGGATCAGTATCAGTTATAGCTTGGAAAAAAGATCAGTAGTTTGACAACATACGGACCTTATCTGATTTGAGAAAATGGGGGGGATGAAATTCATTTTGGATGTCACAGAAAAACACTAGGTGTGGAAAAGCTTTGTCACTATGTTCGTTTAAGTATTCACTGTGAGAATATATTATATGGGGAGTCTCAACCACTCCATGCTTTTAGAAGTTGAGCAGTAAGTTAAAGGAGTTCTGGCACAATGCTCTCAATGTTTATTTGGAAACTTTAGTCATCAAACACATATATAATTTTTCAGATTTGAAAGGATTTATAATAAATTGTTACCAATGATTTAATGTAAAATATGTTTTGAAGAATAGAAGACCTTCAAGTAGTAGTCTTTCTCTACTACTGTAATATGTGATTTATAAATACCAGCTTTTGAGGGGACACAATTTAATAAAATAACAATTGAAATAGTTTTATTGTGGCTGGAGAGATGGCTCAGCTGTTAAAAGTGTACACTGCTCTTACAGAGGACCCAAGTTCTATTCCTAGCATCCATGTTAACCCTCCATGGGCATGGGCACCTACCTGCACTACAAGCAAATACCCATACACAGATGCACACTCATACACACAGCTTAAAAAAAGAAATCGCTGAGGCCGAAAGGACTGCTAAGTGCATAAGAGCCCTGGCTGATCTTCCAGAGGACCTGGATTCCCAACACCCACATTGTGGCTCACAATCAAATTCCAGAGGACACAACATCTTCTGCATTCCCTGGGCACCAGGCACATGTGTGGTGTACAGACATACATGCAGGGGAAAACCCATATGTCTCAAAAAAACAAAATAATAATCATTTTAGGTTGGGGATTTAGCTCAGTGGTAGAGCGCTTGCCTAGCAAGTGCAAGGCCCTGGGTTTGGTCCTCAGCTCTGGAAAATAAGAAAGAAAGAAAGAAAGGAAGAAGGAAGGAAGGAAGGAAGGAAGAAGGAAGGAAGGAAGGAAGGAAAAAAGAAAGGAAGGAAAGGAAGAAAGAAAGGAACGAAAGGAAGGAAGGAAGAAAGGAAAGAAAGAAAGAAAGAAAGAGAGAGAGAGAGAGAGAGGGAGGGAGAGGGAGAGGGAGGGAGGGAGAGGGAGAGGGA